GAAGTCTCTGCTGCGCAGATGAATTGTAGGCCAACTATTCTAATGGTTTCCCAGCTATTTTTGAAAGTGTTGGCGAGAGACTTTCAACACTGCATGTGTTAAAAAGAACACATTTAAATAGTTACTACAGAATATTTAGTTTAATTTTATTAAAACATTTTTAAGTGCTCACAATGGAGGGTCTTAAGGATGCTAATGAAGTATTCTGCCACTAAACTACATCCCATCCCCAGGCCAACTAACTTAACTTGATAGCTGTTTTGGGGAAAGGTATCAATAATGTTTCCCCCAGATAATTTGAAAACAAATAGAAATGTATACATTGTAGCGTGTCTTCCTACTTTCCCACCAATCTATACTAATCTATACTAAGACTATAATAATAATTTGTTTTAAGCAGTGAAAAGATGTTTGAATCTCTTGTCTTATTATGTTTGATGAGAATATCTTCATAACACTAAGAATAAAATAATCATTTAATTAAATTTAACAATCAGCTTAGTACACTTAAAAATTCCAACTATCAAAATAAAAATCACTGGAGAATAGGCCAAAGATTCCAAATGTATTAGAGAGATAATTTTTAAAAAGCGTGCTCACCGTTACAAGCATGTTAAAAATGACACCCAGCAATGATCACACGAATCATCTCCTTTACAGGTGAAATCAGCTTCTCACAGTCACACAATGACACCTCATGGCTGTTAGCAGACACATCAGAGACCTTTGGCTTTGTGTGGACTTGTGGAAAGAGGGATTCGTCTTCCAGAGAAAAGGCAGGACAACTACAGTGAATGACCTCAACTCTCTGTAAACAAAACTTCCTTACATTTGTAGTGAAATGCCTGTGTGCAGACTGAGAAACCTACTGCTGGAAGTGATGGGGTGCACTTGTAACCCCAGAACGCCATGTTAGGGAGAAGGATTGCAGGTTTGGAACCAGACTAGTCTACATTGCAAGACCTTGTCTTATTTCTTCTCTGTAGTTCTAATGCTTTTAGGAGGATTTATTCAATTCCTCTGAACAAAATATTCCAGAAGTAGTAACATCTTGTTTATCAAAGAATTCTTCCTGTGATTAGTTTTCCAACAAAGGAGGTTCTCCATTGTTGTGATTTATCTTTGACTTTATACTTATTGAGAGTGGAGTGTGCTCAAGAGCAATACAGCATTATAGGAGGATTTGAACCTGTGTCCTAGGAACAGCGAGACAGCTCAGCAGGTGAAGAACCAGCAAAGCTGACTCCAAGATTCACATGGTAGGAGGAAGACAGGTGATTCCTGCAAGCTGCCCTCTGACTTTCACTCAGTGTGGTGAGCACACAAATGGACAGACAGACAAAAATGTCATACAATATCTGCATTGAAAATTCTGTATGGTAATTGTGGTGGTTTAAATAAGAATGGCCGCCACAGGCCGCTGTCTTTGAATGCTTAGTCATGAGGGAGGAGCACTATTGAAAAGGATTAGGAAGCATGACCTTGTTGGAAATATCATTGAGGATAGGCTGTGAGTTTCAAAAGCTCAAGCCAGTCCCAGTGTCACTCCCTTTCCTGCTGCTTTTAGATCCAGATGTAGAACTCTCAACAGCTTCTCCAGCACCATGTCTGCTGCCATGCTCCCTGCCATCATGATAATGGACCAGATTTCTGAAACTGCAAGCCAGTCCCCAATAAAATGCTTGCCTTTGTAAGAGTTGCCTTGGTCGTGGTATCTCTTCACAGCAATAAAATAGTGAATAATGCAATAATGTAAATGAAATTTTCAGCCTCCAAAATCATCCCTATAAGACACCGCCAGAGTGGGACCTTGGTGGGTCTCATGGCCAGTAAGGAACACAAACAAGAAACAGGATTACCATGCAGAGAGAGCTTGGGGAGTATGGAGTCTTATTTAGGAAGAGGGTATTGGGAGAGTAGTGGGGAGGAAGGGAGAGATATGAGAGAAGGAGAGAGGGGGAGGAGGAGTGTTGCAATTTATAATAAGAGTCCCACACTACTTTCCCTGGTAAGCCACAGCCTTGTGGTGATACACAGAATAATAGAAGTGGGTTAATTTAAGATGGAAGGGTTAGTTAATAAGAAGCCTGAGCTAATAGGTCAAACAGTGTTGTAATTAATATAGTTTCTGCATCATTATTCCAGTTGGGACAGCCAGGAAACGAATGAGCAGTCTGTCTACAGAGGAGAGAGAAGAGGGAGGAGAGAGAGAGAGAGAGAGAGAGAGAGAGAGAGAGAGAGAGAGACCCCGGAGAGGGCCAAGATGAACTTGCCTTGGTGGGAAGAAAGAACAGCAGTGGGTGGGGCTTGTCTTCCTAAAGGGACCTCCACACCTGCATATTGATGAAGCAGTCATAGGTCCCTGGGCTGGCTAAGTGACAGGGCAGGCCAGCATAATCCTAACAATCCCAGTCACTGAAGTAGTCCTTTTGTTAAATAGCATCCAGTAGGGGCTGGAGAGATGGCTCAGGGGTTAAGAGCGATGGCTGCTTTTGTAGAGGATGGGAGACTGGTTCCCAGAACCCACATGATGGTTGACAACCTTTCATAAGTCCAGTGTCAGGGGAGCCGATGTCCTCTTCTGACCTCCGAGGGCACCAGACATGCTTGTGTGCACACAAGTCCATGCGGGCAAAACACTCCTCCACATAAAATAAAATAAACAATTGTAATTTTTAAAATATAAAGTAGATTCTAACTAGAAAGAGAGCAGGGAGCTTCTTGGGCAGATTATTTCAGTCTCCTTTTTGATCAAGAGTTGTCAGAGCCAGGCAGACTTCTGTTATCATCTCTGATTCCTTTTTTAAATGCAAGGATCTAAAATTAAGCTGAATGCTTTTGGTGTAGATGTGGCTGGCTCATCTGAGTGTCTTCCTCTGAGCAACACTGACACACATCCGCTCGAATCAGGCAGTCCCAGCCTGACAGATTCTCTAGCAGGAATAAGAAATTTATGATGTGGATTGAAGCGGTGATCCCTTTACCACACCAGAGAATCAATGAAGTGTTAGCTTTTACCTCTTTCCCCAGCATCTGCTATGCCACAGTGGGCATTTCATGGAACTTCTGGAGCCTGGGACTCCTAGCAGGTAAATGTCCAGGTAACATGTCTCTACACTGAGGGTTAGATGAGTTAAAAAGGGAAAGAGACTGAGGTTCTGCAAGTTACATTAACCAAAATCCCAATGCTTGCTATCCTCCAGATTATTGTCATCTTAAGCAAAATTAATAAAATTCTGAAATTGGTGGGTATTTCCTTTGTTCTCATTGACCCTCAGCAAAGGGATCAAGAGATTAAGCTAGAAATTCACAGGTTTGGTGATAGGAAAGGGCTTTTAGAATTAATTTTAAACTCACAAAGGTTTCGGTCTGATAATGAGCTTTTCAAACACTGACTATTTTCGTTGCTCTTTCATCCTCTGTCCCCGTCCCTCGGCCCTCGGATGCCCTCCTACTCCAGTAACCCCCTTGCCTCTCGCACGTCACATATGAGACACGTCCACGGTCTGAGACTGAAGCCTTCAATGTCTCTGTTGGCCTTCTCCTTTCTAGTGTCAAAGTCTAAAGCCACACTGATGTCAACATGTACACAGAAATGTCATAATATAGTTTTATATAAAAATAATTGTCGTTGGGGAAAAACAAAAGGCAGCAGAACCCAAGTAAATCAGCAAGGTCTCTGCGGAAAGGATTTTGGACTCCACCGTCCAGATCAAAAGTGGATTCAGTAGTGTGCTCTGGGTGTCACCAGGTGAGATCTGTGTGTTTAGATTCTCCATGGCTGTGAAATGACTCCAAACACAATGGTTGAAAAAAAGCATGTTTGCTGTGGCAGTTCTGTGGTCAGGAACCTGCAGAGGCATGGCTGAGAGCCTGGACCAGGGTCTTTTGAGCAGGCTTCAGGCTGTGGGCCAAGACTTATGCCACGTTCATGTGCCTGAATGGCATGAGGCTGTTGGCAGCTTCCGAGTGTCCACTGTCAAGGTTAGTCACGAGGCTCTAGACCCAGGGCTGCTTGGAGATGAAAACTGGCGTAGAAAGCAGACAGAAGGCACAGGAGTGATCCCTGTGGGACCTTCTGGATGTGCTCCACTAGGAAGGCCTCGTTGGCCCAGCCTCACTCTAAGGGCAAGGGTTACACAGGGCAAGCCCACTAGACAATGGGGTTGTGGGCTTCCTGAAAGACTTCCTGCGAGGGTTAGTTCACTTGAGCTGTGAATTTTAAAACCAGACTCTTGTTCTCATGCTTTACAATTTAGAACAGTGAAATAAGACGTTTTCCTATGCCTGCAGCTAAGTCCCCTCTCTGATGGAACTGCTGTCTTTTTCCTCTGGGTTTCTTTAGTCTTTCTGTCGAATGTTAAATGGAAGATTGGGACTCCACATGGAGCAGACACAGTCTCCTCAACAATCAGCCCCTCTTGCTAGTTCCAGCCTGCTGCATACAGATGATTCCTCCTCACCCCTCCAACAAATCCTGACTCCACCCTCATAGGGCCTACCCCAGGCTAGACGCTGCCCGTCTTGAGATAACGTGGGTGTCTGTGGTCAGCTTCTCTTCAGCCTCCTCAGGTCGGAGCCTGTGTCTCCACCAGGGCTGAGCATAGGAGGAGTGAGGAGAAGGAGTTGCTCTTGAGTTTCTTCTCTCAGCTGCTGCAGGGTATTCCTAACAGAGGTGTCAAAGACTGCAGCTTGCAACATGTTTAGCATTTTCTTCTAAGGACAATTCTCCAGAACCTTGGTGCTTGCTTGCTTCATCTCGGCAGGAAAGAAGCCTGTTGGGTGAAATCCTCCCAAGACAATGCTAGGAGCATGGGCTTCCTCTCCATGTCCCCCACTTGGCCACAGGAAGCTGTCACACATCGCTGGTAACATCTGCAACTCTAGACAGCTGGGAGTGACTTATTTGTCTCTGAGTATTTTTAATTTCTCCAACTGTCTTGCTCAGCTCTTGTAGGAATCATTATATCCGGGGAAGAAGGAGCGCTCAACACATCACTCTAGGGGTCAATAGCCACAGGAGGGGATGCGTCTGCTGGATGATCAGGTGTTCGCCTTGCATGGGTGGGGAGTGGAGGAATTTTCTTACAGAACGTACTTCCCACATGCTGAGATACCTTTGAAGACAAAATAATTATAGTAATTAAGTCTGAATTCTTTTGATAACTAACCCTGCACTAACCATGGGGGGTGGGGGAGGAAGGCTGAGGTAATTTCACACACAGGACATCTATATAGATGGAGGAGGTCACGCTTCTGGTATGCGGTAGGCCTTGTTTGGTTTTTAGAGTCATGGGATATTTACAGCTGTAAACTGGGTGTCTACTGGCTCCAAATTTCCGTTTCTTCTCTGGTCCTGCTGTGGTTTCTCTGCTTCTTCCCTTGCATGCCCAGCTCAGACCCATCCTCTAGGATTCCTTCCTGGCAGCAGGGTGGTTCTTTACTCTTGTTAATGTCCAAGATCATGGGGATTGCCCTCGATTTCCCTCTTGGGTACCTAGACCTTATTATCTTAGTCAATGGCAAACTTTTGCTTGTTTGTCCTCTGAATCCCCAGAGCCTTCCATCTCTGCTACTTTGGTTCCCAGTGACAAGAACTTCATACTGTCTCCTTTGATTGACAACTGCTACTGATGGGGTCTTCCCCAGTTGGCAGATGGTACCTGGGATCTAACACTCTGCTGGGTTTCAGGGAGGAAAAGATACCACTTGGGGACCCAGAAAGGAACAACAGCAAATCAAAGTCCAGCAGAACTGATCCATAAACTGTCTGTAAGTATGTCAAGAGAGATACTGTTCTTATTAAAGGAAAAAGAAATCTCTGAAAAATGGTTCCACACTGTTATCCGTGTCAGTTCTTAGTTCCGATGAAAAGAATCCTGTTATGGTAGATGTTGTGTTGACACTGGGCGAGCAGGGTAAACTTTCTGTCTTATTTTTACAACTTCACTACCTCTAAAATTATTCTAAAATGAAAAGTTAAAAGAATCAAGCAAACAAAAAGCCCACAACAGAATCCTGGCAAAGACGTGAGGTGTGGAGGTGTTCACAGCAGAAGCCCTTTCTTTCTTTTTATTTTGAGGCTGGACTTAAACTCATTGCCTTTTTGCCTCAAGTGTCCTAAATCCTGGAATAACAGCTGGGTGCTTTCGTGCTCTGCTAAATAGCTTCCAGCCCGGAGAGATGGCTGGGGGCTTAGGGCACTCGTTGCTCTCCTAGAGGACCCGAGTTCAAATCTCAGACCTACAAGGCAACTCACAAGAGTCTGTAACTCCAGTTCCAGGAGATCTGGTGCTCTGTTCTGGTTCCCATGGGCACTAGGCACATACAGGATGCCACGTGTAGAAATAGAACCTATTTACATAGAATTAAAAATAAAGAACTTCCATATCCTAAAAATTTTAGACAAGCAAAAATGATAGTGGCAGGATATTTTTTCTTTTAAAAGTGTGTGGGGGTTGTGTATATATGTGTACGTGTTTATCATGTGTGTGTTTATGTGTACATGTTTATCATGTGTGGATTTATGTGTACATGTTCGTGTGTGTGTATGTGTACATGTTCGCGTGTGTGTATGTGTACATGTTCACGTGTGTGTATGTGTACATGTTCGTGTGTGTGTATGTGTACATGTTTGCGTGTGTGTATGTGTACATGTTCGTGTGTGTGTATGTGTACATGTTCGCGTGTGTGTATGTGTGCATGTTCGCGTGTGTGTATGTGTACATGTTCGCGTGTGTGTATGTGTACATGTTCATGTGTGTGTATGTGTACATGTTCGTGTGTGTGTATGTGTACATGTTCGTGTGTGTTCATGTGTACATGTTCGCGTGTGTGTATGTGTACATGTTCGTGTGTGTGTATGTGTACATGTTCGTGTGTGTGTATGTGTACATGTTCATGTGTGTTTATGTGTACATGTTTGTGTGTATGTGTACATGTTCATGTGTGTGTGTTTATGTGCACATGTTCATGTATATGAGGGTGTGTGTGTGAAGGCCAGAGGTCCATGCTGTCTTCCTCTGTTGCTTCCTGCCTTATATTTCACTGAAAGCCTCTCACTGAAGCTGTGGTGGGTTTGCTAAGTCCAGGTGGCAAGTGTGCTTCTGGGCCTCTGCCTTCTGCCACCCTAGTGTTGAAGGAGCTGCGGGCTGGCGTTCCTGCCACCCGGCTCCTGGCTGCCTGGCTAGCTTATGCCCCAAAATAACAACACACAAACTGTATTCATTTAAACACTGCCTGGCCCATTTCTATTAATGTGTGTAGCACCGAGGTGCGCTTACTTGGAGATTCTAGCCTACGTCCATCCTGGGTTGGAACTTCATCGCGTCTGCCCCAGAGAGCAGAGCTATGGCGTCTGAGCTCACTTCCTCTTCCTCCCAGCATTCTGTTCTCTTTACTCCACCCACCTAAAGGTTGGCCTATCAAATGGGCCAAGGAGGTTTCTTTATTAGCCAATGGCCTTCCTCCATCACCCTAGGATTGCAAGTACATGCCCCTGTGCCCCAGTGATTTTGTTTTCTGCCACACTAGGGTTACAGGTACATGCCACCGTGCCCAGTGATTTTGTTTTCTGCCACACTAGGGTTGCAGGTACATGCCATCATGTCCAGTGATTTTGTTTTCTGCCACACTAGGGTTACAGGTACATGCCACCCTGTTCAGTGATTTTGCTTTCTGCCACACTAGGGTTACAGGTACATGCCACCGTGCCCAGTGATTTTGCTTTCTGCCACACTAGGGTTACAGGTACATGCCACCGTGCCCAGTGATTTTGCTTTCTGCCACACTAGGGTTACAGGTACATGTCACCGTGCCCAGTGATTTTGTTTTCTGCCACCCTAGGGTTACAGGTACATGTCACCGTGCCCAGTGATTTTGTTTTCTGCCACCCTAGGGTTACAGGTACATGTCACCGTGCCCAGTGATTTTGTTTTCTGCCACACTAAGGTTACAGGTACATGTCACCATGCCTAGTGATTTTGCTTTCTGCCACACTAGGGTTGCAGGTACATGCCATCATGTCCAGTGATTTTGTTTTCTGCCACCCTAGGGTTACAGGTACATGCCACCGTGCCCAGTGTTTTGGTTTTCCCATGAGTGCTGAGGACCTAAACTCAGTTCTTCAAGCTCATGTAGTGACATTTTACCAACCAAGCCATCTCTCCAGCCCTGAAAGGACATTCTGAAGTTCTAGTTTCTGATGTAAATATTTCTGGCAAACACAGGCAGGCATGCATAAATTTAGCTGCACACCAATTGCTGGCTTTTTGTTTCATTTGAGACAGTCCACTCTTTAAAAAAAGAAATTGATCTGTTAGTAAAGCCTGTATGCTCTGAGCTCACAAAAGAGTAAAGATTCCCTCTCTCCTGAAACATGCATTCTAAAGGGGACAGAAGGAAATAACAATTAAAACTGCATATGACCGATAGATCTGTTTATGATCGGGGTATAAGTGTATGAGAAAAAACGAGCAGAGAGAGACATCAGCAGTCTGGGAGGGTGGGGTGCATCTTTAAATAAGGTGAGGAGCCGGGCAATGGTGGCGCATGCCTTTAATCCCAGCACTCGGGAGGCAGAGGCAGGCGGATCTCTGTGAGTTCGAGACCAGCCTGGTTTACAATAGCTAGTTCCAGGACAGGCTCCAAAACCACAGAGAAACCCTGTCTCGAAAAACCAAAAAAAAAAAAAAAAAAAGAAAAGAAAAGAAAAAAAAATAAGGTGAGGAAACCTGGTGAGGAGATGCAATTGAACAAAGATGAAGGTAAGAACTAAGCTTGCTAGCTCTAGACTGTAGTCCAGCACCAGGAAGGCTGAGGCAGGAGATTTTCTGTGACTTTGATTCTGGCCTGGGATATAGAGTGAGACCCTGTCTCAGAACAAAGCAGAATCAAAATCTAACAACAACAAAATAAATAAGAAAGCAAAAGCAAACAAGCAAAACCTTCCAAAAGATGAGGGGACCAAGAATGAGGATACTAGGCAGGGACTTTCCAGAGCTGACGAGTGCCCTAGCAGAGAATATGTCTGAAGGGGTTCAAGGAGCCCCAGCAGCAAGAGAGCAGGTGCCTGGAGGTGCTCCTGGCAGTGGGGGAAGCAAGAGCTGCTCTGCTGAACGGAGTGTGAATGCTAGACTTTCCCCTGGACTCGGAAGAAACCGGGGAGCTACCACAGGTTTGCAGCGGAAGAGTGGCGTGGTTTGCCTTAGGTATAAAGAGTCACCTTTCATGGCACGTGAGTAACTCTGGTTTGGGAAGAGCAGAAGCAGGGAGAAGAAGCAGAGGAATCTGCTTGTGAAGTCATCACCGACAGCTGATGGTGCTGGAGTTGGCCCAGCCAGCTCTCAAGAGCCTTTTTATTCTTTTTTAGGAAGTTTGCAAGCTAGTTGTTAAAAACATGCCATCGTTAAAACTTAAATAAGCCTAAAATTAAGTAAATTATATGACAAATGGAAGTAATAAATATTTAGATCTCATTGCTTCTGTGGAATAATCCTCCTGTGCTCTGTAAAGATTTGCCACTCCAATTGCTGTAATAAAACGCTGATTAGGCAGTAACCAGGCAGGAAGTATAGGCAGGATGGCCAAACTAAGGATAATGGGAAGGAGAAGGGCAGAGTCAGGAGTCACCAGCCAGACAGAGAGGTGAGCAGGAGATGAATGCACCATGCTAATAAAGGCAGCAACAAGTGACAGAGTGTAAATAAGGCATGTGGGTTAACTTAAAATGTAAGAGCTAGTTGGTAATAAGCCTGAGTTTATTAGTCCAGCTTTTATAATTTATTAATTTAATTTATAATTTATTAATTTAAGTCTCCAAGTCAATTATTTGGGAAGCAACTGCCGGGTATTTGGAAACAGGTGGGCAGGAGAAAAATATCCATTTGCACATTGCTACTTGCTTTAAACCTTATCTATCTATAATTACTGTTTATTGCTATCTATGTTCTTAGGGATATTTACACCTGAGATACACCGTGCCTGTTACTTATGGTGTATTCAGAAATGAGGTGTTGCAATGTGTCTCTTCCCAGTTCTGTATCCACTGACATTGATGAATTTGTCAATCTGTAGGGGTCATTGACACTATGAAAGCTGCAGGTCAGGCCTGTTTCTCTTCATAACGAGACAGACCTGCCAACCACACGCCAGCACACAGCCGCATACCGCCTCCCCGCCACATCTAGACGTGTGTCCTACCCTTCCACATTCAGCTCTCCTCACTTCCATCACATCCTCAGTTACAGAGGGGAAAGGCCAAAGAGGAGATTAAATAAGTATTCTACATATTAGTATGACAACACCATAATGTGACCCATTTCTCTTGTGCTTCTATCATTGCTGTGTACTAAATTGCATGCAGTCACCATACCTGGGATTGAATTTTTAGTGCTGGTCCTAGTTTCAGCCCCATGGTGCCTCGAAGATGTTGCTCGGTGAGAAGGGGCAGTGTTTCTCCATCAATTGCATGATCCTTAAATACCTGAAGAAACCCAAAAATCATTAGCCTGGTTGCCGAGTCTTGAAGTAAAGTCAGTGTCTTCTACACAGAGGGTTTGGTGTTGGAGTAGGCCGCTTGAAGGTGACACAGAGCTGTATAAACCTCTCTTTGTTGTTGGTTTGTCTGGGCTCTGGTGCCATGATGTCTGGAATGCTCAGTAGTTCCGTTTGTGGGACTCACTTCAACCTGGGCTAACTATCTGAGGGCAGTATCTGTGTCTCACTTACTGTGCAGCCCTGATGCAGCGTGGTGAATGTAGTCCTGGGGAAATCAGCAAATGGGAACATGGGTGGTGTAAAGGGATAGGGAAAAAGCCATCACAGACAGCATGGCCCCCCATGTAGCCAGATGCAGTGCCAAGTGTATGGTGGACAAAGGCAAGGAGAGCCCAGGGAAGAGCTGCCCACCAGGGCTTCCTAGCAGATCCTGCTCTGACTCTAGCAGGACGCCCTCCTCCCGGAAGCTGGGAGCCTGCTGAAGAAGGGTAGATGTCCAGGCAGGGAAGGAAGTGGATGTGAAGAAGTGTGCCCGACCATAGTGGTTTAACTTCCTAATGTCCAGCTTCACCCTGCCTCAGAAACCTCCCAGGCTCACTCCTGAGCTTTAAATCTTCTCCCCTCTCCTCAGACTTCAGAGCTTACAGGGTTCCCCTGCATTTTCAGACAACCTTCCAATTTAGAAAGAAGAGGAAAAGAAAATGGTAAGTAGAATTTCCTGTAAACCTGAGCGATAGATCTAACATCTTCCCACCTCCCTAGTTAATCTAAGAGTTTGCTGCAGCTCCTTCTCTTGCCCCCACCCCACCCTGTGGTAGGGGCTCATAGCAGGACCCCTTCTGTAGGGGCTCACAGCGGGATCCCTTCTGTAGGGACTTACAGGGGAATCCCTTCTGTAGGGGATCACAGTGGGACCCCTCCTGTAAGAGCTCACAGCCGGACCCCTTCTATAGGGGCTCACAGCGGGATCCCTTCTGTAGGGGATCACAGCGGGATCCCTTCTGTAGGGGCTCACAGCGGGATCCCTTCTATAGGGGCTCAGAGCGGGATCCCTTCTGTAGGGGCTCACAGCGGGACCCCTTCTGCAGTCTCCCTCCTCTCTTCTTTGCTGTTGCATTAACACATAAGTGGGCTGCCATAGCACTACAGGCTGATGGGAATGACAATACACACTCCACCTCCACACCTGCCCTCCTCTCCTTCCCAACAGCCCCACTGACCAGATGCAGCCTGATACTCTTGTGTTCATGTCACTTCCTGGCCATTCGGCTCCTCATCTTCCCCTTAATCCTGTCTCTGTGGTTCTCTAGGAGCCTGTGCTGTACCAAACACATGGTCCTCTCCCAGTTGCTTATATTGGTTACATTTCTGGCCACATTCGGCAATGTTGACCAGTCCTTTGTGGTTGTGACAGACTTAGAGAATAAAAACTTCTGAATAGCTACCCTTTTTTGTTTTTTACTGTTGTTTTGAGACAGGGTCTCATAAAGCCCAGTCTGGCCACAAAACTGGCTATGCAGTTTTGGCATTTTGATCTTCTTTCTTCTACTTTCCCAGCACTGGGGTTTCAGGTTTGCACCACCACGCTAGAGTTTATGGGGTACTGGGGATTGAACACAGAGCTTGGGCATGCTAGACATGGGGTATCCTTCTTATTAGTGCAGATTGGGCCAAATCTACAATATAAATGTGCACATTTTTAAAATCAATTTCAGATATTTTTAGAGACAAATATTTTATATGCCAGAACTAGATATTTACTTAGAATAAACTGTTACAGTGTTTCCTGGTTATCCTTAAACAGTTAAGTCACAAATCTTCTCATTGTATCTCTTTATTTAATTTATTACTTTTGGTTTTTGATAAAATTTTTTTTCTTAGAGAACAAACAACAAATTACAATAAAACCTCCAGATGAAAAGTTTCTGTAGCCCGATAAACCTCTCCACCGATGCAATAATCCAAATCATACCAAAGCAAACCAAATTAGGAAAAGCCCAGGTTTAATGGATACCAGCACTCCCAGGTGGCCTTCCAGCACCTTAGGGAGGAGACAGGGAAGGAAGACCAAGTGTTTGTTCTGGGGAGTGGAAGCAGTTTAAATACCCTGTGGGAGTGGCCTTGAGCATCATGGGGGGGGGGGTCACCATTTGGCGGGCTTTCTCAGAGGTGGAGTCTGGACTGAGACAACTCTCAGGGGGTGGAGCTGTGATAGAACTTCCCCCCCAAACATCCCAGACTCTTTGGATAATGGATGCCAGGGACTGAGGTGACGCCTCCACCCCAACAGTCAGCAGTAGCACAGCACTGACAAAGTGTGTGTGACTAAAGACTGAGCTCCGTATGTGGCGTTATTTCTCTCAAGGTTTGGATGTTTGTTCCAGATGAGGGGGAGGTCCCACTGTGTAGCTGAGGCTAGCTTTGAACTCACAGTCCTTCTGCCTCAGCTTCACAGTGAAGAGATTCCAGGTGTACGCCACCACACCTGACCCCAGGCATCTTCTAAAGTCTCCATTTGTGCAAGGCTGGCAAGGTGGTTGAGCACTGAGAAAAGGGTGGCTGGCGGAGCGCTGACCAGTCCCGGGGAGATAAATAAAAGCTTTCAAAGGATGGGGCTGTGAATCAAAGCCAAGGAGGCATCTTTGGCAAAGGTTCCTGGGAGGACTGTGTGGGAAACAGTCTTTTGGTGCTGTGTACCCAGAATGCATTGGCATCTCCTCATTTCTCAGAGAGTAGCAGTGGGTGCTTAGCAGGGCAGCTGGCCTTGTAGTTGATGTCACAACTCAAAGGGAGAAAACTTCAAAATGTGGTCATCCTAAATACATTTGAGAAACATCTAGAAATGAGTGGTAGACTTTCTTGGGCTACTGATATCCAAGTTGCACACAATGTTGATGTTTGGATGACTTCTGTCTGCCCACAAGAGCACAACTTACATCAAGCATAGCCTACAGGTAATACTGTTGTAGGAGCAAGACTGTTTCTTTGTTGCTCGTTTGTTGAGGCAAGTCCCTACTGTACAGCCCAGGATGGCCTCAAATTCTTAATCTTCTTGCCTCAGCCTTTCGAGGGCTGAGATTCCAGTTGTGTGCCATTATTCCTGGTTTCTTGTTTGTGTGTTTGTGCTCATGTGTGTGCACACACATAAAGGTCTGAAGATAATTGAATGTAATTCCTTAGATACCATCCACGTTGTTATTTGAGACAGGGTTTCCCATTCGCTGCTAACTTGACAAGCAGACTAGTCTGGTTGCCCAGCAAGCCCCAAGGATCCATTGTTTTCACCCTAAGCCCCAGTGCTGAGGTTACAAGCGGGCACTAGTATGCCTGACTTTGGCATGTATGTATGGGCATATTCATGTGTGTGAACGTGATGTGCACACCATGCAATGCATGTGTAGAGGTCAGAGACAACCTTGGGTGTTGGTCCTCTGCTCCCACCATACTTGAGATAGTCTTCTTGTTTGATGATGTAGGCCAGGGTCTCACTCACGTGATTTTGGGGATTCTCATGTCTCTACCTCCTATCTTTTCTTAGGCACACTGGATTATAGATGTGCATGACCGCATCTGGTTCTAAGTGTTCTGGAGCTAAGACCTCAGGTCCTTGCACTGTTACAGTAAGCTTTTTATATGCTGAGCCCCCCCCCTTGTGTGTGTGTGTGTTTGTGTGTGTGTGTGTATATCGTGTGTATGTGCGTGTGTTCTGGGGACTGAAAATACGCGTCCTTTCGCTTGTACGACAGTCTACTGACTGAGTTGTCTCCTCAACCCCTTTTGTCTTTTTGTAGGACAAAGTACATATTTCTGTTATTTAGGCACTATAGTAAATATTTCTCATTCTTTCTGGATATTTAGCCTCCGAGTCACCTTCTCATGAGAGGAAATTAAGGATAGAAAATTAAGCTAAATAGTTGCTTCCCAGAGCTTCTCCAGTACCTGTGTCTACTAGTCATAGACATCTTTCCAATGAGAAACAGTGTCAGAAAATGGGGGTTTTAGTAGGAATTTTCCCCTTCCAGGGGAAAAAGGAAGTTTGACAAAACTCATTGTACATTAAATAGTTTCAAGTTTTCATAATTTCGCAAAATTACGAAGTTACCTGGGCATAGTCTGAGCACCCTGGCAGGCTTCTGATGAAGTCATGGACGTCATCTACGGTCCACTTCTGAATATCAGCCGAGGAACAGGCTTCGCTGAGTGCACCCAGTGCCTGTGCTCCTGTAACGTGAGAAAAAGTCCTATGTGGTGTGAAGCTTCCGTTCAGGAGGAGACCCTTAGAACACAGGATTGCTGTTCGCTGTACGAACTCACTAACGTCTGTCACCACAGGTGTTCCGTTTATCTGGGACGATTTTGAACTTCCTAAAGATGTTCAGACACATTGACAGGAGGTTTATTGCCCTCTCTTAAGGTCTCTTCAGTGATGTCACTCTAGGTGAACAGACAAGGGGCTGATTTGCTCTGTGGTCTCTGAGGTGCTGACAGAAAGGCCCCGTGAGCTTCGTCTTCCATATTAATGCTGCAGTACCATGTTATGTGGTCTCCTGTGACCATCAGGGCCTGAACCCAAATGGAGAACTTCACAGTGAAGTGGTCGGTGTGGTGTCTGTCAAGTTGACACAACCTAAGATCAGCTAAGGGAGTCTCAATGGAAGCATTGCCTAGATCAGATTGTGTGTGTGTGTGTGTGGGGGGGGGGGGTGATGTTCCCTGGGGGAATTGTCTCGATTGTTCCTTGATGTAGGAGCGCTCAGCCCACTGTGGGCATTACCACCGCCAAGGCAGGTGGTGTTGAACCAAATAAGAAAAGCTATCTCATATTGTGAACTTCTCGGCTAGACTGCACACAGTATTCGTCATGGTGCCTGCCACATTTCTTCTCGGGGAAGTGAATTCCCTCCTTGGAGGCAACGCTGCCTGGAATAGCAAGCAAACCACCTTCAAGTTCCTCTCTTGAGTTCTTACTGTGACTTTGCTGGGTGGTGGCCTGTGACCAAAAACTGTAACCTGAATAGATTCCTTCCCAAAGTCACTTTTGGTCACACTGTTTTATCACGGCAACAGACAGGAAGACAGAGCCATCAGAGACATGCCTACCTCTGTGTTTTCATTTTCTTTCCAAACAAGTTCTAGAGAGCTATCCAATGTGAGATTTTCTCTGTACTGCTATGATACTTTCAAAACTGATAGTTCATGCTTTTGTCAGTTTTTCTACATTTGGATACAGGAAAGATAGAATTTGTACTTTAAAACAAAAGCCCTTGGGGGCTGGAGAGGCGGCTCAGTGGTTAGGAGCACTGACTGCTCTTCCAGAGGACCAGGGTTCAAATCCTAGCACCCACATAGCAGCTTAGTGCTGCTGCAACTCCAGTTCCAGGGGATGTGACACCTTCAGAGACAAACATGCAGGCAGAATATGAGTGAAAACTATGAAGAAAAATAAATAAATATTAAAAAATACATAATTAAAAAACATAAAAAATAAATAAAAAGCAAAGCAAACCCCCCAAATCCACAACAAAATAGACCTCTAGTTTGTGTTAAAGAAATTCACAATTAAATTTTGTTTTGTTTTGTTTTTCGAGACATGGTTTCTTTGTAACTTTGGAGCCTGTTCTGGAACTAGCTCTTGAAGACCAGGCTCGCTTTGAACTCACAGAGATCTACCTGCCTCTGCCTCCCAAGTGCTGGGATTAAAGGCATTAGCCACCACCAGCTGGCTAAAATAAAATTTTAATTAAAAATCTCTGTAGTTTCTTATATTTATTTTCTTAATCTGTGTAAAGTGGTTATTATACAGCAATATCAAGACTAGTGTTTCTAATATGACTTATGAGAAGTGACCAAATAAAATGACTTCAAGACGTCATTTAAAACAGGGTTAAGAAAATAGAGGCGGAAGGGCCTGGAGAGATGGCTCAGCAGTTAAGAGCACTGGCTGCTCTATCAGCAGGCCTGGGTTTGGACCCCAGGCAGCTCACAACCTCCTGTAGCTCTAGTTCCAGAGGATTCAATGCTCTTTTCCCAGTCTCTGCAAGCACTGCACATGCATGGTGCCCTATACACACGCAGGCAAAAGACTCATGCACATGAAATAAAAATAAATACCTCTTTTTTAAAAAAAAATGAAGGTGAGAGAGACAGACAGAGGGTTTGAAAATGAAAATAAAGGCCAAAATATGACACATGACTGTCACAGTTTCCTCCGCAATGGGAAGACCCGGTCACCTGGAGCTGCTGAGGACCTGCCCTGGATCCCAGACACCTACCTGGCAGAGGCAATATGGAAATCGGCAGACCAAGCCCATTCTTTTCATCACGGCCTCCACAGACCTGCTCTGAGGGCTTTTCCTTCCCACCATCCCGAGCCTTGGCTTCTGGGGAAGAGGGTTTTGTCTGACTTGGCTGCGGCTCTATGCAGGTGTTGGCGAGGCCCCAGGTTGGCTTCTCATCAGTTTCCCTTGACTTCTGGATGTTGTCTACTTCAATTTCCGGGTCTTTGCTATCCTCTTCCTCTTTGCAGGGAACCACAGGCATCTGGCCTGAGTCTTTTTCTTCTGCTTGATTTTTGAAACTCTCAGTGTCGCTCTCTAGAGGTTTCTGATAAACTGAGCCTCTCCTGAGTCGGTATTTCTGGCCCCAGCATTCTGTAAAGTGTGGTCTATTCCCCAGTAGAATAGGGTTTTCCTGAAGGTGTCTGGAGGTGCTTCTGTGTAAATGCAGATCATTGGCAGGCAGTGTGCCCCTGCCTTGGAAGCCTGCAGGGCCACCCAGGCAACTCAAGCCATAAAAGAGGGGTACCCCTGGGCCAGCCAGTCCCTTGGGATTAACTCTTTCCATCCTCCTTTGCTGGTGAAGAGAATACATTTCCATTTCTGCCCTAAAAACAAAACGATATGGTTTACATGTCTCCAGACAATCGTTAGAAATCGAATTTTTAAAAGTAATTTGTTAATTATTCATTTATTACTTATCTGGAGCATGGAGAGGTGAGTACATGCATGCCATTGTGTGTGTGTGGAGGTCAGAGGGTAACGGTGATGGGGTTGGACCTCTCCTTCCATTATGTGTATGCTGGGGATCAAACTCAGATTGGCAGGCTTGGCAGCAAGCCAGACATGTAGTCTTAGGAGGCCCTTGCCTTCCCTAAGCTAGTCCCTATGCTTATAGCGTTTGTCTGAAGCCTGTTTGATGGAGGCAGGAGGCCTGAAATTGGAGTTTTCGGGCGACCGTCAAAGTGCAAGCTTGAAGCTCTGCTGTGGGCCTTACCTGTCGTGCACAGAGCCTTAGCGGGTGAGGGGATGATGGAGCACCAGTAGTTTCTTGTCAGACACTAAACTTCATAGTGTGTCTAGTTCTCAGCATACTGATAGTTAGTGGAACTCAAGCAGTTAGTGCTTGTCTTGGGTCTAGATCACTGCACACGGATGGGCAGGCAAGGAAGGGAGGCCTGCTTCAGCTCACTTCACTTCGCCCATTGGCCTGTGACCACCAGGACCTTCCCCTCTCCCTGAGGCCGAATTCTGTTAATTATGGGTGTACTTTATTTGCTGCTGGCCATGACAGATGAAGACCTTGTTAGGTTGACATGAGATGTCCTGGGTTTTGATGACATCATCTGAAGGGGAGTTCACTCCTGTCTCCAGGCAGAACGGAAACCATTTAAGACAGAAATGCCTGTGGGGATTCAGAGGAATCACATCCAGGATTTTGTATTGTGGGTCAATGAAAAGCTACTGAATATGCTGTGCGGAATGGGCATGGGTAGGTATGTGCGTGTGTTCTGTGTGGTGTGTGCCTGAACACGTGTGCACATGCATGCAGAGACTGTAGGAGGACCTTGGGTGTCCCCCTGTCCTGTGTCCTCCCACCTGACTATCCTGTTCAAGGGAGGTCTTTTACTCAGATGGCAAATCAGCAGGCTTTGGCTAGGCTGACGGGACAGAAAACCCCAGAAATCCTCTGTTACTGATCCCTGCCTCTAGCCCTGGGATTAAAAACACGTGTGGTCTCACCCAGCTTTGTATGCGGATGCCGAGGATCTGACCTCAAGTCCTCCTGTTTGCGCAGCAAGCATCCTCACTAAACTTTTTAATCCCCAGACCCCACCGTCTGCTTTTTAACCTTCTGTTTATTATTAAAAGCTTGAATAATTTATTCTATAGTGCACCTGAAGTGCTTTCTGTAAATGATCAGCACATGTGTGTATAAAGGGCATGTCTTCCTCATCACACCCTATGTACTTCTATTGTATTTATATGTGTTGATAATTTATTAATTTTAATTCATTTATTTTAATTTACTTAAGACAGCTCAGATGAACAAAAAGTCATGGGACTGAATAGAAGACAAATCAAACAATGTTATTCAGTTACCTGGCAGTATGATGTCTCTCGAACATCTCGTTCCTTGTGGCCACTGCCTTTGTGGGTTCAGGTGGTAAAATGCCCCAGCCTTAAGGGAGGCAGGGAGAGAGGGAGGGAGGGAGGGAGAGAACACCCCATCCCACAAACAAATTAGAAGTATGCACTTGGAAATAGTAAAATAAGTCAAAACAGGATCTGCAGTTACCCTTAGCTGGAATGGAATGTGGACTATGGTATAGAATCTTCTACTGTTTGTCTGGAACCTGATAGACAGCACCAGGCCAATAGCAGATCACGCTTCAGCCTTTTCCTTGAACTGTCAGTCTCATGACTGGTGGCATTTTCCTGTCAAACTTCTAATGGGAGGATGGCTGCCACCTCCTTGATGTGTCTTTTCTTGTCCTGTTTAATGATACATATTTCTAAGGTCCAATGTGATGCTTTGATAGATGCTTACATTTGGTTACATATTGGTTAGATCAAGATAATAACATATTCATCATCTCATAGCTTTATTATTTTTATGGTGTAGACTTTTTGAGATCCATCAGCAATTTTTAACTATGTAACACATTATTATAAATTCTGACTATACTGTACCAAGCATCTCCAGAATGAAATCCAAATAAAAGCTAAATTCTCCCTATGACTTATGAGACCATATGCACAAGCACCATCTAGAAAGCAAGTGCACAAACTGCGAAGGCTTAGTTGCTGCCCAGGTCTCCAGATTGGAGCATCAACAGCCGCTTAAACAGCCCACAGTCGTTCACGGGGCTCCACAGACTGGACCACACACTCATCTCTCGTACCTGGGTAGAAGTGACCCGACAGCCGGTTTAGCACATTTGCGTTGGGAACAAGAGAGGATCCAGACTGGGAAGGAACACAAAACTGACTTGGTCCAGCTGGAGCCACAATGACATCTCTAGGAGGGAAAACAGACATGAGCAGACTATGGCTGGAATTATACAAAGTTTCTCGTACTTAGTGTGGTGATCTAAGTTCATTGTTAAGTTAATAGAATTCAGAATCATCTAGAAAATTGAAGTACACTTCTTGACAGGCTCACTAGGGCATTTCAAGAGGGTTACTGAGGGCAGGATCTCGTGGGAATCTGATGAAATCAAAGGAGAAAGTGGGCAGAAGGCGAGTGTCCTCCCTTTGGGGGCCCAGCATGATGTGGATTATTCTGCTGTGGCATGCCTTCCCTGCTGTGATAGACAGAATCCTCTAGAAGTGTAGCCAAAATCAGGTGTAGTGGTCACAGCCACACAAAAGTAACCAATTCACGTAGGTCCTGGGGTTTGTAAGAGCTGCTTGGAACTCTAAAGTGTGAATGCCCCAAACTCTTGTGGTCACAGACAAGCATGGTGAGGAAGAGTAGGAGAAAGAAGCACAGCAGGAAGATAGCTCAGGGCTGTCTTGGGAAGAGACCCGCTCCAGTCAATGCCGTGGTTAGAGGGCTCACAACAGGCACTATGCTCTGAGCACACAGTCTGTTCATATTTAATGGTTCCTTGGTGGCATTGGCCATCTAGGATGAATGTTTGGCCACCTCAGGAGGCAACATATTTATTGTTCACGTTCCATGAACAAGGACAGATACTGGGTTTTATTTTATCTTCAGAATGCCAAAATATTACAAAGAAGGGAATCTAGAATATTGCCAGAATGTATAACCAAAATGCTGAAGATTTCCATGCTATTGAAAGAAGGATTAGGTGACAAGCAATCCGGGTGTTATAGACTTAGGGTGGAGCTGCCTTAATCTGATAGGATTGGTTCTCTTAAGGAGAGGAGCGGAACTCTGGAGGACACCCTGTATGTGCACACAGAAGGCGCCATGTGAGGACATGGTGAGGAGGCAGCATCCTTGGCCAGGAAGTAGGACTCACCAGAAACTGGCTGGGCAGGAATGTGATTTTGAACTTGTAATTTCCAGAACTGGAGACCTAAGTGTCTTTTATTTTTATCTTTACTTAAAAAAATTATGTGCATAGATGTTTTGTTTGATGTAAGTAGGTACCATATGTGTGTAGTGTCAGGAAGGCCAGAACAGGGCGTTGCATCCCCTGGGGCTGAAGTTACAGGCCAGTGTGAGCTGCCAGATGAGTGCTGGGAACTGAACCCTGTCCTCTGGAAAGAGCAGCCAGCGCTTGTGACTGCTGAGCCTTGTCTCCAGCCCTGAACATCTGTTCTTTACACCATGTTGTCCTTGTGTTTTATGGTGGTAGTCTCAGAAGACTGATCGAGCAGATTTTACACTTGATATTGCCTGTCACAGTCCAAGTAAATGTGTTATCGGTTAGTGGGTCCAACCCACTTCAAAGGGAAAGTAGAGTCTTACATTTCGAAGGGAAGACCAGCAGAGAGCTGTGAGTCATGGCACAGTCCACTGAGCTAACCCCAATGTTGTTTTGTCTAATCTGACATCTAATGCTAATGCTAGCATTGTTCCAAACTCTGACGACAATTCATTTACTCTTCTGATTCTCTATTATATTGGAGAGAAATACCTGTCCACAATTGGAGGCCCATATGGTGCAGGAATCAGTGGGATCCTCTGATGTCCTGATGCTGCCAATAAAGGGTTCACAGACATCATGGGGTTTGTCATCAGATCTCGTGACTCTGATGGAATTCTAAAAAGAAACAGGTGCATTAACCAGTGCCTACTGAAAATTATTTTCTTCTCTCTCTCTCTCTCTCTCTCTCTCTCTCTCTCTCTCTTCTCTCTCTCTCTGCCCCTCCAGGCAAAGGTGTAGTGGCTCCTCCCCAAGAATTGCCCCCATTGTGCTTTGGGAACCTGGGGCTGGCCTGTAATCCGAGGGACTTCCTGTCTAGGCTTTCCCAGAACCGGGGTTACAATCGCACACCTGCTTTTGTTTTGCCTTTATGTGGGTTCTTGTCATTGAACTCTGGTCCCCATGCCTGCACTTTGTGAATTCCTTGAGTTTTTCTTAAACATAAGGACAACCTCTTCACAGTGCCTAAGAAGATGAACTGCACCAAACTTCAACTCTACAAAACTCCCCCAAAGGAAGTCACTGATAATTTCTGTAGAACTTGTTTTATAACTGTGTCCTGGAGTTTGTTACAGTCCACAGGGCAATGCCACACCACATCACAAGCAATAATAATACGGAACCAGCCCTGTAAGATTCCAGGGATACAGTTTCTTCTTTCAAGTTATTTACATCCTTCCTATTTCCAGAGTGGAAGTGTACAAGCCCTCCCAGATGTTCGGTCTTTGGGAAAATATTCCTATACAGCTGATAAGATTCAAACAGAAAAGGAGGAGAGAGGTCCTCTTAATGACTGAAAAGACATCTGATTAGGGCGGGTGTGGGATGATTGCCTGAGATGGTTTAATCAGAACGAAGGAACACATTATATTCGTGTGTATATAAACACGTGTCTGCATATGCTACCTTCAGTAGCCTCTGGCCAGAGATGGACTGCTGTGAAAGGGGGCCTGGCTGCCTTGTACTCTCTTAACCGTTAGCATCCTTGGGATTATTTTAAATATTAAACAGTACTAGTTAAACAGGTCATTCATTTAAGTTTTTTTTCTTTCTCAATCATCATCTTAAACATCTGAGACCAAAGGAGAAAATGGGGGGATTTTCCCAGCATGCTTGAGGCACTGGGCTTAATTTTCATCATGGCAAGAAAAAAAGAAAAGTTGAAAATGCTCTGATTTTCATGGAGAGATTCTTATTTCTTTTTCATTTTTTTCATTCTGTGTATCATTTGGTTGGATTTTTAAAATAGTTACAATTTATTTGTATGGTGTGTGAAAACTGAAAATGTAACAGCATTTAACTATGCTATTGTTTCTTTAATTTCTTTTTCTGATAGAAATCTGACCAGATGGGAAATTCAAGTACCCGGGTCACCCAGCCCTGGCTTTGGCCGCTTGTGTTTCTCTGTGGTTGTTGAAAATATATTCTTCTCTCATACAATACATCTCAACCACATTTTCCCTCCTTCCACTCCTCCCAGGTGCACCCAGCTCTCCTCTTCCCCTATCTACTCCCCCTTCATTTCCCTAATTTTAAAGTTCTTTTTGATTGGTTATTTCTGCTGCATTTCTGGAATTGGCTCCCTAAAGTTTTCTGTGCACATGTGCACTGGAGTACGCATGTGCCCACACTCACACACACGTCAGATACACATAATAATAATAACGCACACAAGAAAACAAACATGATCTTTTCTCAGGATGCTCCTCAGCTTGTTAATTATATATGCATATTTGGTTGTCTAGAGCAATCTTCTGTGCACAAGAAATGGAACGAAGAAAGCAGTGCTTCCACTCACTCTCCTCCCTGCACACAAGCGCAGCTGCCCTTCCATCACCATCCTGTTGGAGATGTGTATCTGCACCAATCAATGAACTGACAGAGTCCGTGCTTTACATCGTCTTTGGCTCTTGGTTTGTATTCTATGGGTTTTGGCAAAAGTATAATGACATGTAACTATAGCTATGGTATCTCACAGAATACTTGCACTGCCCCAAATCAAACACAGCGAGAACACTTTCGAGGGAAAGTTCTGAGGGTGACCAGAACTTCATTTTATCCCCCAGGTAGACGATGGAAAGTCCAAATCCACATTGTCCCCAAACCACCACTTTGAGGATTGCTAAGCTCTATGGTCAATCCATAAACTTTTTAATGTTAAGCTTTATATTTTTTGGGTAACCTCTTTTATTTTGCACACATCTTAACAGGTTGTGAGCAGGTAGCTCAGCTACAGTGGCTGAAGGGCTCTTGAGTAACATCTCAGAGCAGGTGGTATTCTTGAGAGGAGAGCATGTCTGGCAATCCCCAAGCAGAGCGTGCCATGCTGAGGTCTGCAGTTGGGTGGATTTCCCTGACCCAGGCCCTAATCCTGGATGGCCAGCACATTAGCGGGATGAAGATGCCTTAATCTCTTCCTTCAGACTCTTACCCTCCACAAACCCCTCCCAAGGCACACAGACGACTTAGCTAGTGCTAATTCTGTCTGAATTCATCAGGCAGCAGTAGTAAGACTTGCACTTTGGGAAATGGACCCTTGCAAATCAGCGGACTTTTACTGAATGTTTTTGTCCAGTGCACAGTTGCCAAGCTCAGTTTGATTGTATTTGTTTTCTACTGGCTGAGCTGTAATTGTCATTGTTCATTAAACTCTGAGGTTTGAGCTGCCACATCCTGGATCTGAGTGTGTGTGTATGTGTGTGTGTGTGTGTGTGTGTGTGTGTGTGTGTGTGTGTGTGTGTGTATGCGTGTGTGAGATGTTGGATATTGTCTTTCTAGATTGCTCTTCAGCTTATTCTTTGAGATAAAGTATTTCACTGAAGCCAACATGGCTATCAATGAGCTTCCGGGATCCTTCTGTCGTTGCTATTAGTGTGGGATTACAGGCATGTACCGCTAGTGCTGGAATTACAGGCATGTACCACTTCACGGTTTCGTACATGAGCTCCAGGGGTCTAACCTGAGGTCCTCCAGCTTCAGCAGCAATACATCACTGACGGCCACCTCTCAAGCCCCTAGAAAGTTATTTCCCGCTCGTTTGAATTATATCACCAACAGGTTACTTTAAAAAGCAACTAGACTTAAGTGTGACTTATTTTTGTTTTAAAAACAATAAATCTTTGCTTTGATATCCTAGCACAGAATAAAGAAAAACTAATGATAATAACAAGCAGCACCCCCAACAAGGACAGTTATTCCTGGAACGCTCAGCACGATTCTTAGTGAATTTCCCCTTTGCTGAGCATATGCTTTAGCGTTTTCCTGAGCGCATCTCACCTCGCATACCCTGGGAAGTGTGGTTGAGGACAGATGGCTGCATGCATGCTACCCTTCTCTTTGGCTTCTTTTCATTCTAGAAAGCTCTTTGACATTAGGAACATCCTTGCCTTCTTGAAATGTCAAGTTCCAGGCACACTCATCATTATTTAAAAAAAAAAAGATAAGACTTTATCCTCACTAAGCAAGTAGAAATTATATATTTTCTGCTTGGAGTCAACACAATTTAGGTGTTGTGAAGCAAAGTCCAGCATATGTGAGCTTGTGTGTATGCTAACATGAAATTATAGAAGTACTAACACAATTGACTTGAATATTAGGTATTTTAGTTAGAGAATGATTTAAGAAATAGCAGCATAGATTTTTTTCATGGTTACCACCGATTTTTCCAATTTGAAAATTTCTATTCTGATAGCTTATGCTTCACACAACATAACTTTTAAAATGTAATTAATTATAGTAACGGAGGCCATTAAAGCAATATAAAGCTGGGTGGTGGTGGTACTTACTTGAAATCCCTGACAGGGGGCAGAGGCAGGAAGGTCATGAGTTCAAGACTATCCTAGAACACATAGTACAACATTGTCTCAAGGAGACAAAACACCCTCCCCAAGTATCTACAAGCAATCAGTGACAGTGTCATAGGAAAAGGCATTTTCTTTAGCAGGACAGCCTCTGGTAAGTTGTCCACACTCACAAATAACTCCTTCTCCACGAGCCTGTAACACACTAATTAAGCCCTTAGTCTCTCACACACCCAAGACACAGAAGTAGAACGGGCATTGTTTGGGAAGGAGGGTTCAAAGGAGTGGGAAGAGAAGAAGCAAGGGTGACAAGGTGAATGTGCTCAGAGTACATTACATGTGTGGCAATGTCATGATGTAACTCGTTATTGCACACGCTAGATGCTAACACAACAGAAATAAATAGTAACTGCATAGCAGTAATGTAAAGAGATTATCTATTTGGAGATGATGAAATGCTTACGCTTCAAAGTCAGTTTTGAACTGATCTATGAAAACACTCCCTTCCACATCTGTTTTTGGTCAACCAAACAAAGCCAGGCAGTGTTTATCTGGCAGAAATGGAATAGAGCCTTTACTTTTGGGCAACGTCAGTTAAATCATTGCTTATGAGCTGCCATACCGCTAGTACAGACCCAGTGAAATTTATAAAGCTAACCAATTTCTGTGATAAAAATGTCCTTTTTGTGGGCACTATTTTGCTAAGCATAGCTAGGCTGAATGACTCAGTAGATAGACCCACAAGATTTGTGTACTTACATCCTCTCTACAGATTAGTTTTGGCGCCACCCGTGTGAGGACCACCAGAGCCTCTGCCCTTCTGCTGCAGCAGCTTCTCGGCTGGTCAGTGGATGTCTCGACTGAGAGCCCCTTCTGAAATGTCTTACTGGAAGAAAACCTTGCCTTAAATACGAACTCAAGTAAGTTGCTTAATTCTGTATCCCAATAGCAACTCTGCACTCCGACATCCTCTGCAGACAGGCTAAAAGATGTTAAGCCCAAGGAAAGTGCAATGCAGGGTACATAAACCTGTCTCAGGGTTTAGCCTTTAGCATAATCCTTCCTTAGCCCTTAAGATGCTTTGTGGGCATTCATCCTATACCACTGTTCAGTTTTATAGAAAGGAAAATTTCTAAGGATACATAACACAACGATTTCTCATTCTGTATTCCCAACAGGCTTCGAGTGGGAATATTTCTCTTGCAAGTGGGAAAAGAAAGCTATTTTCTATAGAACCATATGATTTAATTTTAAGCATCTAAAGGATGAACTTCTTAGATCCAACAGCTATT